GAGATTTAAGCCTTTTTCAGAATGAATTAAGAGCTCAATTTATTATGTTGGATAATTTGATACTCGCGCCCTTGACAAGTGCATTGGTAGCAACCGGGTTGCTAACCTTTACAGTTACTTTGAAATACTCGGTATTTCCTATTTTCGTGTAATGTCTTATTTTACGTTTCCTAATTTATTTTGTATAAGCTCTACTTTTTGTAATTAAGTGACCTTTGATAGATTAAACATCAATCAGATTATCAACGTGCATCCTTCAAATTCGCGAGATTCATAGAATCTAGTTAAACTGTATTCTCGGAATACTTCTGCCAAATCAACTCGTTTGATACAAGCCATTCTCGTTACAATAGAACCAGTTTTCATATGGACAAAACCAGCATTCCAAAGAGTAAAACCGACTGACTGTAAAGACACAGTTTTCATAACAAAACCAACGTTCAAATAATGTGTGATCTTTATTATCCCCGATTTGATGTTCACAGTGTTGACTGTGAACTGTTTGGTCATTAGGCTTGCTAGCTCAACTCTGATTGTGTTTAAACCTCTGATTATTGCGAGTAGTCTTGAGTAGATCTCAATCTGATTGAGTCAAGCATTGCGATTCTAGAACGTTAGGAGCTAGGCTAGATAAATAAGCTAGAAGTGCTTTTGAGCCGATAGTCATGTATTATGATTTTGACAAAGGTTTGTTCAGAAAATTGCAATTCTCAATAATCGAGTTTCTCAGAGGTTCGAGTTATACGATAATGACTTTCTTCTTATGAGTTTCAAATTTAGCTGTCATAAAACGATGCTCATTCTGGTCTCTTGAAATAATATCATTTGGTAATAAACTATTCTTGTTGTATCATCTAGAAATACTTAGCACTGGTTTGAATCTTTCATTTCTTTGAGTCTAATTTCCTCTTGCTTTATTAAATGCTCATGACGCATCTTCCTTCCTTTTTAATAAATTAATTAAGTGTAACAATTAAACCAATTACCTTAGACAAAGTATTCAGTAATTTTGTAAGTCAGTTTCATGTTTCCGCAAGTTTCCTCCAAATCTTTAGATTGTGTGTATAATGAATTACGACACAAATTCAGTCTACTCAGTTTACTAATTCTTAAAATACTCGATGCTTCAACCTGTGATTATGATGAAACAATATCTAAGCATTTAATTAGAATAATGACCTTTGAAAATCGCAGCTCATAACTCAACCTTTGCACAAGAAAAGCCTTTTCAATAGTCAGTCATTATTCCGTTATAAATGCATTCAGGCTCAAACAACCAAACAGACTCAACGAATTGAAAACTCAAAACATTAGCAAAGTTTCTAACAAAAACACAAGAGCTTGACCTGAATATTGTCAACGTTCATCACTAAGCATTGCCAATCACATGAAAAGATGAATACTTTGAACAATTCAGTCTTGTGATAAACTATTAAAAATGGAATAAAAATTCTGACAAAAATTGCGCATCCGATTGTTGAGATTAAACAGTCAATCAATTGTCTCCATTTTTTAAAGGTTTAAAGAAGCTTAAATGTTCTTGTTAAGAAGACAGTAAATTCATTTTTTGTTCATTTTTCTTTTTCTTCTCATGTTTTAAAGATGACAATTATTCATTGAAAAAACTGTTATCAAGATTACAAAAAAGGTACAACAATGAATGAGGTAAAAATGAATCTTAAAAAGACTAAACAATGATAATATTGTTAAGGTTTGGCCAACAATGAATAAATGTAAATCAATGTAAATTGAAGTGAAAGGAGTGTTGTTAAGAGCAACATGAAAAGATGAAGGTTGACGGAATGAGGATGCATCATTATCCGAGAACTTTGATATTCACCTAAATCTGAGTTTTCCAATGTTGCTCAGATGATGGGCGTACTAGACTCAATTAAATTGAGATAATTTTGACAATTGACTTATGAACGTTTTCAGTTGATCCCTCGAGTTGCAAAAAATTGATAAAGTTATGTGAATAAAAGAAAAAATTTTTTATGAGAAAAACTTTTTTTCCTCACTTCCTAGTTTCACTTTTAATAATAGTTCATGAAAAAAATGTTTAAATAGTCTTGTAACGGTTATCATTTACATGATGATGAGCATGATGAGTATCATGATGAAAAGCTCTTCAACTGGGTTAACGAGAGAAGAATACAATTGAGGTTAGAACTTTTCTTTTTTTTCTTTGGCTGTTGACAGGTAATAAATTTGATTGCCTTTGGATATAAACTGTGACTGAATTTGCTCATCATTATCATAAATTCATTGTAATTGAAAATTCATTGATCATGGAATTGTTTTTCTTCTTCTTTTCTTACTTTTCCAGTCAATCAGCTTTTCCATTGCTTTCAACATTCAATTTCGACTTGTTGACATTCGCTCATTTTATTGCTCCAAATTGAATCAATTTCATTTAAATGAGAATCAACACTTAACTGTCTTTGATGAACAATTTCATCATGAAACTGAACAACAACTGAAAATGGAACTTGATGCAAAATGATCAATTTTTTTCGATTCGACAAATGTTACAATCGAAAATTGTCTTTTCGTCATTTCTCAATCAATTCCATGGTTCAGTAAATGGTTCAATTTTGCCAACTTTTCTTCTTCTTCTCTTCACCTTTTCACTTCATCTTTCAATTGATTTGTTCATTATCATGAGATTGAAGCTCAAAGAATGTAAAATTAAACGGATTCAATGTGAGATTGGGAATAAAAAAAGGACAAAAAAGTGTTTCAAATTTTAATCAACTTGGATCAATTGAAATCTTGGATAATGCCGAAATGTAATAACTTTTTTTTTCTTCTTCGTCTTTTCTTTCTTCCAAATTCTGATAATTCTGGGTAGAAATTATCCTTTTCTTCTTTGTCCGGATATTAATACATTTCTTTACTCAATCATTTCTCATGTTTTGTCAGTCTTGGTTTTTGGTTTGCTCTTGAGATGAAGAAAAACATTCAAGTTAGCATTTTGGTGTCAAAATGTGATAACAAATATTAATACGCTTCAAGATTCAAAACAAAATAACAATTTTCTTCATGATTTATGAGTCTTTCCATGGAAAGTATAAGAAAGGAAAATGGTAAAAGAAAATTTCAAGTCTAGAATTTTCAGGTTCCAACGCAATTCCACCAACTACAAAATAATGGTTTAATAATGAAGCCAATAAAATGGTTAGAAACAAACACTTCTCCATCAATTTGCGATTCAACAAATCAATCTGAATACACAAACACAAGACATTCGTGATTTTCGGACAATTTTTTTCGTCCAAAGTTTGACTCAAAGATTTTTTCGGACGAAAAAAAACGAAACAGAACTTCGAAAGCATTTTATCGTTAATCGTTTCGCAAAGTTATTCATTTTTCATTTCATGTTTGAGCTTTTTCCATTCGAATTTTAAAATAACTTTGAACAGAAAAGATGAAAATCCAAGTTTCGAATCGAAATCATTATTGCCAGACATTTTGTGCTCGATTCGACATAAATAGGAATTTCAATTTACTATTCAACATTTCAAACCTTGAAACCTTTGCTCAATGAGATTGGAAAATTAATCAAAATTTAGATTAAAATCCCGGTAATTTGATATCTGCTAATGAAAATTGAAAGTAAATGACATTTGCAATAATTGAATGAATAAAGCTCGACTAATGGTTAGTCAAATAACAAAACAAGTTGACAATTTTATTTACATTTTTCAATTTTCCTTTTCCTTCTCTTGCTCTCCAGGTGAAACTGAAATTCCCGCGAGCAACTTTCATCTACTCAATTTCATTTGGCTCAACAATGGAACCAGTCAGAAACATGTTAAGACCTAGTTTTAGGCACAAGATGAGGAAGAAGAAGATGACGATGAATGTATAAAAAAAGAAGGAAGAGAAGAGGAAATAAAAGATAATGTAGACTGGGAGTGAGAATCGATAAGTGAGAAGTTGAAGGGACTGAGAGGAGGTGAGTATTCAATGAAGCAAGATGAAAATGTAAACCCAAAACTAGTTGTATGAGCAAAGCAATAACAGTCTCTTCATGTGAGTTTATCGTTCAACGAATAAATCGATATTTACAATCGATTCCATGTGATTATCCTTTTACTCGTCTCATACTGTCAATCAATAAGTGTGTGTATCAAAGCTAAATGACTTTGTCGACTTTTTCCTTTTTTTCATTTTACTTTTTTCTCTCTCAACTTTTTTTCCAACATTTTTCAAGTTAAACAGCAAACATAGTTTTTTCCAGTGTTTACGGAACGAGAAAAATTCATTACTGAAATTGATAACAAACAAGGTTGCAATTGAAAGGGAAACAATGTTGGCTCATCAAAGGATTCATTGGCAAGATTAGGTTTACCAATAGTTTTGGCTTGTTCAATGCTCTTTCAACCGATTGTTGACTGAAAAAAGGTGAAAAATGTTGATATCAATCATGACTTTACTTGAGCTTTGCGAGTAAACACAAAATGTATAACCAAAAATGCAATATTTACTTTTTTCTCTTTGACCTTTTTTCTCTCTCTTTTTCCATCATCAATATATTGATAAACAAATGTGCTTGCTGATGATGATTAACAATGACTTGATGATTAGAGTAAAAAATGAGCAAAGTTAACCTTTTTGCTTAAATTGAATTTCAACTTCAATTTTGTCAAAACCTTGGGAATGTTTGAATAAAACATTAAAGTTATTATCGTTTATTGGCATTGTTTGCCATAAAAACTCTAGTTTTACAGTCATTATGAGTTGTTCACAGACTCAAAGGTAACTGACTAAGTAATGAAAGATAGGTTTGCATGGATCATTAAAGAGCGACCGATAAATGTTACGAGTAAAACTTCCGGGTTCATCAGTAAATGTTATTTTGTTTGTTTATTTTTTTACTCTGTCTTTTAGGGCGAATTATAGTTTCAAGTAAAATGAGCAACTTTTTTTTGGATCAACAATGAACATTTGGCGAGTGTTTTGTCGAAAGAAGGGGCTTTCGGGTTGGTTAAACTCACCGATTAGATAAGAATACCCATCTAGACGAAGAACACATCTTTTAGTGTTGGACATTTGAGAAGAGAAGAACTGTGATGCTGATGAGGCTGCTGTCGATGAGGAACAAGTGACTGGTTGAGGTGAGGTTGAAGGTGAAGTTGAATTTTTTGATGTCAACGGTTTTGTTAAAGTTGATGTTGTGGTTGGTTGTGGTTGGTTTGATGGGTTATCCGGTTGTCGGTCAATATGGTTTGGTAAAGAGTCTGCTGGTGACGAGGTTAAATGACGAGTTTCCGTGAGGCAAGTTGGTGTTGATGGAATGGGTGAAGTTGAAGGCACCAGGTTAAGTGAGGTTGGTGAAGGTGACGAGGAAGATGATGGCTCTACAAGAGATAAGTGCAATGGTGACTTGTTTACTGGCTTTGGTTTAACTGATGAACAACATAATGAAGCTTTTGTTTTTGCTGTTGTTGTTGTTGGTGTTGAAGAAGATGATGATGATAATGTTATTGTTTTTGATGAAAGTATATTTGGTGATCCGGAGTAGGCTCCAGTTGTTAGTAGGAGAGCTGAAGTGTGAGTTGAATAAGTGGCTGATGAAGCCATTGTTGGGTCACTTGAGGATCGATGAAGCCAATTTCGTGATGAAATCTTTTTACTCTTTCGAGGTGAAGGCAGATGCGTACGATGAGAGGAAGAAGGAGATGATGATGATGATGAGGAAGAGCAACAACAATAATGATGATATTTTGAATGAGAATGACTTGGTGTCAATGAACTTGATCCAGATGAATGTATCATTGTTGTTGCAGTTGATGTTGCCTTTGGTAAAGGATTGGTTAAAACATTGAAATCACTTTTCCCATCATTTCTCGTTTTATCTTTTGAACTGTACAACCTATTGCCATCAGGTAAACCCAAAGGATTTGGATTTTCATTCAACCTTCGAGTGGAAAGTGAAATGTTCATTTCACCCTTGTTCGAATAAACATTTAAATTTTTGGCCAAATTTTCTTCCAAACTGGTTCGCTTGATGGACTCGGCAACACTTTCAGCTTTACCATAAACCATGTTGTTGTTGTTGTCCAACCAATAACCAGACTTGGTTAAAGGTGAACCTCGATTAGGATAATGACGATGATGATGATAGTGATGAGGATGATGAGGAAAACATGGGTTTACTGGTTTAGTCGAGGTTGATGGTGATGAACAAGATGAGGATTGGAATGAAACTTTATCACTTTTTTCACTTGCAACATCTTCGCTTGCCTGTGAACTTGTAGCCTGGTTTTGGGTTAAACAGGTTACCTCTTCTGGTTTACAATTTTTACGACCCATGCTTGGTTCAACCAGTAAGCTTGACTCTCCTAATGTAGAGGCGGAACTGAGTGGAGAAAATAATGATTTTGATGTTTCCACAGATAATGATGATGATTCCTTCTTCAATTGCTTTTCCCTTTCATTATTATTTAATCTCACCGAGACTCTATTTTTTTCTCCCTCTTGTTCATCTTCCTCTTCTCGCCCAACTTTATCCATTCTTGGCTAAATTTATCTCCTAATATTGACACAATTTGGCCACATAATGAGAAACTGTTAACCTTAAACACCAATTCATTTGATACCAATACCATTATCATTATTATCTAATCCATCATCTTTAATCTCGCCTTTGATTCGCCATTTGGTACTTTTTTTAAACCCTTTTCATCACAACTTTAATCTCGACAAAATTTTATCATTTAATCGAAAAAATTTATTCCAATTTCAGGTTTCCTTCAAATCGTCAGTTTTTAAAGTAAAATCTGGAAAAGAGAAGAAAAAGGAAAATTAAATTTTCTCATTCAGCCCCTGCAAAGACTCTTTACACCAACTCTTAAGTTTAATCAGAATTCATTTTCTTTTCATGGTTTATTCAGTGCTTGGTGAATATTTAGTGAATCTGACTTGTCAGTGATTTTGTTTTAAAGTGAATTTTTTTCTCTCCAAAATTGTTATTGTTTCAAATGTTGCTGTCAATGTTTGATTGCCATTGAAAAGGTGATTTCTTTTGAATTAATTGAATAATTCTTGGCTTTCTTTTCACTTAAATTTCTTCAACCTGTCATCTGACTGAAACCATAAACAACTTTACAATTGTTTATTGTCACTCTTTTCGCATTATTACCATATTCTTAGAACAATTTTCATGGCGAGAAGAGAAGAAAAGAAACAAAAGATAATGAGAAAAATTCAAGGTTATCCGCTTTTCTCCTTTTCTACATTTCATTTTTTATTCTGAAACAATATTAAACTGTCAAAAAATAAGTGAAAAGGTTTGGAAATGGAAACGAGCTCAACAGCTAACATTGAAACAAAAACAGTGAGAAAAAACAATTCAAGTGATTAGTGGTTAAACAATTCAACTTACATTTTCATTGAAACCCGCAAGTTGAATGGAAAAAAATTGTTGTCCATTTGAATCACTTAGAGAAATATTCTCATCACAAACATGAACATAGAAAACACAAAAACACTGATTCACATGATGCGACACTTGAATCCTTTGGTTGATCCAGTTAAGGGTTAGAGGTTGGAAAAGGTGTGAATCACAATCCAACCACAACTTTGAAAAGGTAAACCAGATTAAGCACAACTTGTTAACATTCAATTTACCTTTTTTTCCCTCTTCTTTTTTCTCTTCTCTTCACCTCTTATAGCATCACCATGGGAATAAAATCAGGCAAGATGTTTGGATGAAGGTAAATATTATATTGGTTTGTGAGGGAAAAAAGAGATTAATCAATGATTATGATTGTGATTACAAGGTTGATTGGAGAATAGGAAAGGAAAGCAAAAAAGTTGTTAATAGATATGTTGAGGTTGTTTTTTCTTGTTCGGTTGATCCTGATGAATATTCAATGAATGTAGAAAAAAATTTTGCTCATTTTTTTTGTTCTTCTTCTCTCTTACAATTCCTTTGCCTTTGTTTCATCCATTTCCTCAATTATCATCATTTTGAAAAGGAAAGATGAAAAGGAAAAAGGTGAAAACACTTGACAATGCGTTGACGACGTTATTGATGAACTTTTGCCGGAAAAAAATGGAAAAATTTTCTCATTTTTCCAATTATACAAACTTGTCTCTCTTTAGTTGCTAGTCAATTGATATGGAAAGGCAATTTGGTCCAGGTTGAAATGGAACTCATGATTAGTGGAAATTCACGGAAAAAAAGAAACTGTTATTTGATGATAATAACATGGAGCGAAACAATATGTTGGTAAACATTGGAAATGATTACAGGGCAATACTCAAAGTCATGTAACTTGAAATGAAACGTTCATTTCGCTTTTGCCTTGTTTACAACTCAATGGCAAGGTCATTGATGATGAAGAGGAAAGCAAAAAGGCTTAGTCTACGTCAGTGAGAGTTTTTCAGGTTCGAAGGGAGAGTGATGAAGAGAGAGGAAAAAAAAGACAGAACAAGTGAGAAAGGCAGGAAGATGAGCAGAGAGAAAGAAAAGGATGAGGATGAGAAAAGGAGATGAAGAAAAGGTAAAATTTGGTCTTTACGCAACAAATGTTGAGTTGGTATCCTTGATGACGATAATGATGGTGATGATGATGATGCGGAAAAGTGAGTCAACAATAATTTATACTTACTGAGGAAACTTTTCTTTCTCTTCGAAACACGCAAGCTCGAAGGATGCTATTGAATAACGAGAAGCGCCAGATCAGACGAGAGAAAAGGGATGAAGAAAAGATGAACAAGAACAAAAGATGACAACTCATTTTTTCTCTTCTCTTTTCTCTCTTTTCTTTATTTCCTTTTCTCTGCAACTTCTTGTAACTTTATATTTCCCTCATCATCATCATTGACATAATAATGATAATCATTTTCTTTTTTACTTTTTTCTCCATCGAAATTGATTCAATCAGTTTTCAGAATTTTGGAAATGAACAAAACTCTTTTTTTTCTTTCTCTTCGTCTTTTTACCCAAACTTACAAATCAATTTGTAATTTTTGTCTTTTTTTTCGGCCAACAAAAACAAACTCAATAATCAGTTGTTGGTCAATGTAATTGGTAGCGATTAGAGAGTGTATTACATGATATTGAACACGAAGTTTTTGTTTCAATCGAATTTCGGAAATTTCTTTTTCTCTCAAGGATTTTCATTACATCACTGCAATTATCATGAATTGATTGATCATTCTGGATAAGAGGAAAAGGTCTTTATGTTTACACTCTTATCGATCAAATGAACATTTCTTTTGGTTTCATTCAACTTTTACCTTTTCTTCACCTCTTCAGGTTGTTAATTAGATCCAACTTTGGGCAACACTTGTCATTACAATCGAAAAAGACGAGGAAAAAGATTTTCATCTTCGATAACCTTTTTTCTGTGTAACTTTCTTCGTCTGGATAAATACGATTATCTTGATATTTTATTAACTTTCAACACTTTACCATATTAATGATTTCAAGTCACACAAAGAGACATTTATCACACCTTGTTGCTGTGTTATTAGCAATTGGCTGATTAAAAGCATCATGTGAGATGTTAAAGGTTAGTCACATTGATTGTTATCGAACCTAATGAGATAAGAGAAAAAAGAATGGAAAAAAAGTCAAACCCAAATCCCGAGTTAAATTGAGCTGTTGGTTAATCTTTACTGTTGAAGAGAAGAGAAGAGAGAAGATTAAGGTCGAAGATGAATGTTCCATTTTTATCATGAAAATCATCATTATCATCGATATTAATCCCTTTCATTGTGATATTTTCATCAATATTTTCAATCAACTTTTACAGTTCAACATTCACAATGACAATGGCTTAACAGGATTCAAAGCCATTCAGTTGAAACAATGTTTTTCAATAAAAGCCGCTTTTGGACTTGGATTTGTTCGACAAACAAAATTTGTTCAATCGAAAAGAAATTCTTACAAACTTTCTAGAAAATGGTCTTCAAATGTTCGAGTTTTTAGTTGAAAGTTAAACAAGACTTTTAGTCAATCCAGATTACTCCGGAATCGGGTTTACATCAATTTGTACATTCAAAGATCTACTTTGTCAGAATGTAGAGATTTTTGATTAAACTTTTTATCATCGATTCATGTTTGGTTTCCTTTGTTGATGAAAACATTGATGCTAAGTGAATATGAAAGTTGAAGGAAAATGTTTTCAACCTTTTAATGCTTTTCGTTGTTATTCATTTTTCTGATCAACCATCAACAACAGAAAATGCAAACTGAAAAAAGGTGAAAAAGTTTCACTTTTCTTTCCCTGTTGATGGTGAAAAGGAAGAAGGAAAAAAAGTGAAAAGATGAGAAAAGTGAAACAAAATTGTTTTCCTTTCTTATCCTTTTCTTTTGATGAATGCAACTATCGATCGCGATTGATTTATACTGAAAGGTGATTCAATATGTATCAATTGAAGATTTATGCAGAAGAAAATTGTTGTTCGAGAGAAAAAAAAAGAACACAAGAAACGAGAAAAATTCCAAGAATGATAAATACTTGAATAATGATGAAATGTTGAGAAATTTTTTTCTCCAACTTTTTCACCTTTTCCATTCTTTCTGGCCAAATGCCGTTCTCATGATGACTTTATATCATGTCATCATTTTCCTTCTCCCATGTGAGTAATTTTTCTCTTTAAATCATCATTGGTCAGTAAAAGTGGGTTGCACTAGTAATGGTCATGTTATGTTTCCACTTGAATCGATAAACGACACTTTTATCATTTTTCTCGTTATTCCTTATTCTTTATCGACAATGAATAGTTTATCGAGTTGAACCTTTTTTCACTTGGAATCGTGTTTTATCTTCTTCATCAACATTTACATGAAAATGATTTTGTCAACTTGATGGTTCCATGAAAAATCATCATTTTCTCGTTTGGTCTTTCACTCGATCTTTAAATTGACTTTAATCAGTAAAATGTCAATTGAAACAAATCTGTAAATTGATATCAACTGGAAAACATTTGTTCAGTGAGAGAAGAGCGAAAGTTGAAAAGTGAAACCTTTTCCTCTTGTATCGAGTTTTCAGCTTAAATTATCGTGTCAACAATCAATCATCATCTTGTAGAATCATGTCAATAACTGATAACATCCCACCCAGGTTCACCTTTTCATGTAACCAATTTATTCTTTATTTTTAATTCAATCTCAACCGGTGACAAAATTTTAAATAACTTTCAATGTAAAGTATAAATCATAAGAGTATGTTAAAAAGGTCGACTCGAGTTAAAAATAACTCTGCACTGGTTACGTTAGTGATGAAAAGTTGGTTGAGAATATTTGTTTTTTAGCTTTTTTTGCAAATCAAATTGAATTGCTTTTCGCCAGTCAAACTGGGAATGTGATAAACATGTACTTTAAATGCAAAAGGTTAACAAAAATGAATGAATCAATTTTTTCATCAATTGACTGAAACTGCAAAAATTGAACTTTTCCAAAAGAAACATCTGAATCTAAAACGATGCATTTTACAGCGTCATCTCTAGTTTACCAATATGAACTTTTCACTATCATTCCCTGTTGTGTGGCGCCATCTATCGAATAGCATTGGAGATAGAAAGCCCATTAATGGAACATTCATTCTTATTCGATTTTATGGCGAAAGATGGCACTTTATACTGACAAGGTTCTCAATGTTCTAACAATTTTTCCTCATGATAATTTGAAATGCTGGTAGTTTTATTCATTAACGAATCGATTGTTCAATTCGAAAATTAAAAATTATTTTTTTGCTGAGAGATGAAATAAACAGGATTTCCCATCTTTAAATGTCTAACTTGAAGCTTCCCTGTTTGATTTTGCTTTTAGTGAAAGTTTTTTATTCAATTGGAAAATTTATGTGTCTAGAAATAGTCAAATAACTAATTAAGGTTGCAAGACTGGTGGTTGAAGGCTCTTCTTGGTCTTCGAAATTTTTATTTTTTCTTTGTTTGTTTTGTCCATTTGGTCTTTGAAATTTTTGATCTATGAACTTTTGGTTCATCAGATCTTGTGATCTTGCAACCCTCAGGGCGATAAACAGTTTGATGACTTGTCAAGTCTTGTGTTTATAACTTTTGTGACTCTCCCACTCTTGATCTTTTTTAAACATTTTCGTGACTCTTGCTTTTGTTCAATCCAACGCGTAAACTCAGTTTAGTTTCCGCAATGAAATTGCAATCATTCGTCAACTCTTCACTCTTCAGTTTACTTTTGTCTCTTTGTTTATTAAGAGAGAAGAGCTTCATCATGAAGACTGATAACAGTTCAGAACTAGCCTTGACTCTACAAAACTGTTCATTTCTTTGTTTTTCAGGTGAAAAGTCAGGAAACGTTTATGAGAAACTTGGACATTGTCTTTTCATTACTTTTGCAATCTCTTTTTTTCATTTGTTTACTGGGAATTCAGTTTGAAATCACGGTAATAATCTGTAAACAAAGAGCTAATCACGAAAAAAGAAACTATTGCATTCTCTTCTCACCTTTCGTGAACAAATAATATACTCGATGAATCGCCAAAACCTGCCAACAAATGCACACAAAAGAATTTCAATCAGTTGTGACTCTAATAGATCAAAACTTTTTTGAATTCACTTCTTAAGTTATTTCTTTTCGACAGTTGCATTACCAATTATCTAGAAATGCATTTCTGTAGAATATTGACTGATGCAAAACATGATAGACGTTTTGACCATATGCATCAACTAAAATCGTTTTGACTTATTATTGAATGTTCTCTTAATATGCAAATCTGTTTTAAAATAGTACTGAATCAATTTGAAGCTTAAAGTTAAATCGCTCATTCAGAGTTTAGCAGTCACTCATTGTATAATATTGCAATTGTAAAGACAAAAAACGATCAATTTCTACTCTTGCTTTAATCTGTTTCTTTTCTGCTAGCTCCGATCATTTCAGTTGCGTCTCACAGCACTTGCGGCATACTAAAATTACTGTCATCTTATAATATTAAATAAACATTCGTGATACGTTTACAGTGTTTACAATAACCTCTTACTTGTTAGCTTTTAACTTGTATAACATAATTCGTCTACCAAATGCACCTTTTGATAAAGTTCGTTCGCCTGCAAACAAAGCTAGTTCTTAAAGGTATCTTAAGATATCATAAAAGAAGTATAATGTTAACATGAAAATGATTTATTAAGATTTAGAATCGTTTATTTACAATTTTAGATGCAATACTTTCTGACTCGAATCGAAAGAAACGTTGTTGACTTGACTTAACCCTTCTTAAGATCATTTTCCTAAGCCTTTGTTGCTTCAATCGCTACCGTTGCAATGGCTGTTAGCCTGTTCATATGCCAACAAAGGCTACAAATCTTGTCAATTATGGCCGAACTGTCATCAATCTTATTTTATGAATTGATTTTATATTGAAATGCAA